CCACTTATCATTATCCTTTTTTTCGTGACAATTTAAAATATATATATATATATATATAAAAGGCCAGGTTTATGGTAGATGGATCCGGGATCCAATCCGAAATGATTGGGCCTCTCACCATTAACATGGGCTTCTCATATGGGCCACAAAAGCTGACCTTTCTACTTCTTTTTCTTCGCTACACGTGTCTTACTCTTACTGGTTAAGCAACGTACAATTTAGCAGGATAAAAATAAAATAAATCAGTTCCACCGTCGGCGAGGAGGAAAAGGAAAACGCGGCGAAACGTCCTTCTCCCCTTCCACCATCAGTCTGTCTCTCCCTTCCCCCTTTCTTCGCCCCACGCCTCCTCCCTGAGCCTTATTTCTCCCTCTCCCAATTTATTCATCACACAAATTTATAATTCCATTCCCCATCTCGCCTACTGCTAATTCTCGAGATCTAAACCACCCCCAAACCACCATGACCTCCTCGGCTCCTCCCGTCCTCCCCATCTCCACCACCCATCCCACCGATTCTCAGCCACCCGTCCCCACCCCCGCCTTCCGTGTTTTCATCACCCACATTTCCGAATCCCTCAAGAACGGCCTCTCCCAGCGCCGTCCTTGGGCCGAACTCGCTGACCGCTCCGCCTTTTCCAAACCAGAGTCGTTCGCTGAGGCCACACTTCGTGTCCGCAGGAATTATTCGTATTTCCGCGTCAACTATTTGGCAATCGTTGGTGTGATCCTTGCCTTTTCGCTGCTTTCGCATCCGATTTCCCTGCTGCTTCTGCTGTGTCTTCTGGCTTCTTGGCTCTTCCTCTACCTCTTCCGCCCGTCTGATCAGCCACTCGTTCTCTTCGGCCGCACCTTCTCCGACCGCGAGACGCTTGGCATCCTCATCATTTTCAGCGTCTTCGTTGTCTTCCTCACCAGCGTCGGGAGTCTCCTCATCTCCGCTCTCTTGGTAGGAGTTGGTCTCGTCTGCGCTCACGGTGCCTTCAGGGTCCCCGAAGATCTCTTCCTGGACGAGCAACAACCAGCAGCGGCCACCGGTTTCTTGTCCTTCCTTGGAGGTACCGCATCCAACGTCGCTGCTGCCGCCGCTCCTGTTCTTGCCGCCCGCGTTTGAATGTGATCGAGAGATCCGGGATCGAAGGTAGTTCCCACTTCCCTGGGATAATACATTGTCGAATTAATTGATTACAGTTTTAGATTTTCGTTAGACAATAAATTTCCTCCTTGGAATTTTTGGAAATATTACAGAATGCAAAATTATTTTGATATTGATTCTTTCATTGATGTTTGGGTAGAATTACCATGGATCTAAGGATGTACTCTTCTCTTATATCATACAATTTGTAATTTAATATGTTAACACAGACCATCAGTGTAAAGTCTACTCTTTCCATTTTCTTCATTTTATTTTGATGAATTTGGCATCTTGTAATTACTTATGCTTGAAAATGTATCAAAATTTCAGTTTTCATACGGGACTATAGTTTTGGATCTGTTTATTAGATATATGTGGACGTTGTTTATGATTTATTGCCCTTTTTAGAGCTTACAAACAAAATGGTTTCGTGTATTTCTTAGTATCATTGATTTTAATTTATTCATTTACATTGTTGGAGTTGGGTTCTTGGTTTGATGTAGTATCTGCAATGCGGCTATTTTAGTTCATATGTTTCAGTACGTGATTGGGTTTGAATTTTGTTCATGTAAATCCATCATGGACCATGAGTTGTCTAATAGATATCTGTTTTCTTCTTTGTCTTTCAATGATGCGACTCTTGTTAACTTCTTTCTTAGTTGCATTAGCTATCAACTAATTGGTAGTATGGTCATTACCTGGGATATTGTTCTAGATATACTGAAGCAATTGGATCATTATCATGGATATAAGAATTAAGAATGGCTATTTGGTTTTCTTGGTCAATTTTTGGTGCACTGAACTTCCCTTTTTTATTCTTTACTCTTGTTCAACATTATGGTTACTATGTTTCTTATTGTCTGTATTTAGATGGATGACTATTTTCAAGTTTGATGTATTTTAATGTCTGAAATCTGGTACTTTAGAGAAGAACTCCATTTAGTGCTTTTGTTAGGTTATGCTAGATATGAACTTTTGGAGCTTAGGACTCCTGTCTCAGAAAAAAAAGAGTAGTGAGATTCAGCTGCAATGTGATTCATGAATTTCTCTCGGTCTTTTTGCTTTCTTTCGTTGTTGCAATGGGCTTTTCATGTCCCCAGGAAAACCTGAATTGTGGCCAATAAAAGGTTTGTTGTTGTAGACTCATCTTGTTGTCTTTACATTACATGAAACCAGGCAACGCGAGTGGGGGGTGCCCTGTCTCTTGCTTCTAGTAAATAAATATCTACTCTCTTGCTTTGTGTTAAAAGGTAAGTTTTGGAATTGAATTTGGTTATCCTTGTAAGTCTTGTAAGTACGTAACCAATAAGGGTACTACCTTTACAATTGCGTTGCCTTCCGTAGAAAGCAGCAGCAAGGTAAGTATTAATCGAGAAAGGCAAGGCACTTTGTGTGATCTTTTTCGACAAGCACGTGGATCCGTGATATATGTTTCTGCCTCTAGAATGAAGTTACTTCGATTCTGATTATCTGCAATTCCACTCCGAGACCTTAGAATAACTCTACTGCGCCAAAAGTTAGCTCTTGGTATGCTTCATGCACTGCAAAGTTCAGCTTTTCTTAGGGTCTGTGCTCTCCAAAATTGTCGTCAACATGAAACTTGCAAAGCTAACCTAAGCTATATTCTTCACTTTGACCAAAACACAAACAAATCGACTGCAATGACAGAAGAAACCCAAATACCTGACAAACCAATACAAAGCCTTAGGTTGTATATCGTTAATTTTCCCCTATATTTTACCATCAATTTCTTGATAAGGGAATTCAGATTTCTTGCTTAATTCATGTCGCTTGTTGTGGTTAACCCACTAAAATAAGGCAATGATATGGGAATAATTTTTATTATACAATTTTTTTAACATAAATGTATTACTACATGAATAAATGTAAATAACATAATAGATTTTTATAAAGTAAAAATAGATAATTATTAAATAATATATAAAATTATATAAAAATTTTGTTAAAAAAAAGTTATTTCTCAATTATTTTTCCTAAAATAAACGGCTGACTAAGAGACCCAGGACCTCCAGACAATGTAAGTAAGGAACGTGCCCCATGAAATATAGCCGTTGGAGAGAAATGAAAGTTGCCTCGATCCTGCTTCAACTAACGGTTAGGAAACTAATCAGAAATAAAAGTAGCCGTTAGGAATTAGTATAGCTTAGCCCAGACACCCTCTACCGTCTCCAACTGACTTTGTCTCTCCCAAACCCAAGATTCCTTCTCTCTCCCTACTTATTTAGTTTCTTTTTCGTTTCTCTCTCTGCACTCTGTAATCTTTTGTACCTCACCTGCAACCATAAAGGCAAACAATGAAAAAAGAAGATAAAGAACATAGATTTCAAGCTCACTTACCCCCTCCTCCTTCTTTCTCTCTCTACACATCTCTGCTTCCCTCACTCTTGTTCATGGAAGCTACCCATCAATCTAATCCATACCCACCACTTACAGAGGAAAAGCAATGCTGTAAAAAAATTTCAGCTTCGGAGAAGATAAAGCTACAGAGCAGAAGTTATTCGCTTTCTGGGTTCAAAATCAAGTTCTTCCATTTTGCCTACTTGTTCTTGTTTCTATTTGCTTTGGCCTCTCAGCTCGTTTTGGGCCAGAAGGATGATGGGGTGATTGTCACCCAAGCTGATTACCAAGCTCTCCGTGCCATAAAGCATGACCTAATCGACTCCAGAGGATTTCTGCGCAGCTGGAACGATAGTGGCTATGGAGCTTGCACTGGTGGGTGGGCGGGAATCAAGTGCGTCAAGGGACAGGTCATTGCCATCCAGCTTCCTTGGAGGGGGTTAGGCGGTCGCATTTCAGAGAAGATTGGCCAACTTCAAGCTCTTCGCAAACTCAGCCTCCACGACAACGTCCTTGCCGGTCCGGTGCCTTGGTCTCTCGGATTTCTCCCCAATCTTAGAGGGGTTTATCTCTTCAACAACCGGCTTTCAGGTTCCATCCCTCCTTCAGTTGGTAACTGTCCTAATCTTCAACATCTTGATTTAAGCAACAATTCACTCACTGGCTCAATTCCTGCTAGTCTTGCCAATTCTTCAAGGTTATATAGACTTAACTTGAGCTTCAATTCTTTGTCCGGATCCATTCCTGTTAGTGTCACTCGGTCACCTTCTCTTACCATTCTTGCTCTGCAACATAACAATCTGTCTGGTTCTATCCCTGATTCCTGGGGTGAGACAGGTAGCAACCCTTACCAACTTCAGTTCCTGACCCTTGATCACAATCTCCTCACTGGAATAATTCCGGTGACTTTGAGCAAAATGGGTTTGCTTGAACAGATTTCTTTGAGCAATAACCGGATTTCAGGGATCATTCCTGATGAACTAGGTGGGCTCTCGAATCTGCAAATGCTAGATCTATCAAACAATGCTATTAATGGGAGCTTTCCTCCTAGTTTTTCCAACCTCACCTCTCTGGTTTCTTTGAATCTTGAGGGAAATCGCCTTAGTAGCCAAATCCCAGCAGCCATTGACAGATTGCAAAACCTTACGGTGCTTAATTTGAAAGACAATCAATTCAATGGCCGAATTCCGGCTACCACTGGTAACATATCTGGCATCAACTTACTAGATTTATCCGGTAATAATTTTACCGGAGAAATACCGGATTCACTTGCAAAACTAGCCAAGCTTAGCCTTTTCAATGTTTCATACAATAATCTCTCCGGTCCTGTTCCATCTCTCCTAGCCAAGAAGTTCAATTCAAGCTCTTTTGTGGGAAACCTTCAGCTTTGTGGCTACAGTTCTTCCACCTTATGTCCTTCTGCTCCTCCACCTCAGAATCTCAATCTTCCACCCGCACCAACTCAATCTCAACATAACCATCACCGGAAACTCAGCCTCAAGGACATCATTCTTATAGCAGCTGGTGCCCTCCTGCTGGTTCTGTTGGTTTTCTGCTGCATTTTGCTTTGCTGCTTGCTGAAGAAAAGGCAGTCCTTAAAAGAAAGGAGTGGTAAAACGGGGGCTGCTGTGGGGAAAACAGAGAAGGCAGCTGCTGCAGCCGGTGCTGAAGCTGGTGGAGGCAGTGAAACGGGTGGAAAACTAGTCCTCTTTGATGGACCATTTGTCTTTACAGCTGATGACTTGTTATGTGCCACCGCGGAGATAATGGGTAAGAGTACTTACGGAACAGCATATAAGGCAACTCTAGAGGATGGAAATCAAGTTGCAGTAAAGAGGTTAAGGGAAAAGACTACAAAGGGACAGAAGGAGTTTGAAGCAGAAGCTGCTGCTCTTGGAAAGATCCGACATGCAAACCTTCTCGCTCTCAGGGCCTATTACTTGGGACCTAAAGGAGAGAAGCTTCTTGTATTTGATTACATGCCAAACGGAAGCCTTGCATCTTTCCTCCATGGTAAGTTTGATTTCAGATATTTATTTCACTACGTTCTAGAGAATTGTGGAATGTATATTGTGAGGAGAATCCTATCTAACAATGTAACATTTTCTTGTGCAGCTCGAGGGCCAGAAACAACCATTGATTGGCCAACAAGGATGAAGGTGGCAATGGGCATTGCGTGCGGATTGGACTATCTCCATACCAAAGAAAATATCATTCATGGAAATCTCACCTCCAGCAACATACTTCTTGACGAGCAAACCAATGCTCACATTGCAGATTTTGGCCTCTCTAGGCTCATGACAGCAGCTGCCAGCACCAATGTGATTGCTACTGCAGGAACACTTGGATACCGAGCACCTGAGCTGTCAAAGCTCAAGAATGCCAACACAAAGACAGATGTCTACAGCCTAGGAGTCATCATACTAGAGCTTCTCACAGGCAAATCCCCTGGAGAGCCAACAAACGGCATGGACTTGCCCCAGTGGGTGGCATCCATTGTGAAAGAGGAGTGGACTAATGAAGTCTTCGACTTGGAGCTCATAAAGGATATACAAACCATAGGAGATGAGCTACTTAACACATTAAAACTAGCCCTCCATTGTGTTGATCCCTCACCCGCAGCACGACCGGAAGTCCAGCAGGTTTTGAAGCAACTAGAAGAGATCAAGCCTGAACTGGTTGCAGCTGTTTCTGCTTCTGCTGAGGAAGGATTTAAGGCTTCACCATCAAATGAGTAGAGTTCGTATATGCAAAAATAAAAGGGGTCTTCAAAATTATCTGGCTATTTCATAAATTCTTTAATTCTATTATTTGTTTTATGTATATAGAAATATAAGCTTTTGTGAGTTTATATCCAGAATGATTAATTATTCTTTTTGCCTGAAGACAATAATGTACTCTTTTGAATTATAAAATAATATATATAATGCATTTTTTAATTTATATTTGGGGATTTTGAAGAAAAATTATTTTTTGCTTATTTTTTAAAAACTAATTATAAACGGAATCAAAATTTCAAAAGTAAAATTTAACATTACCGAAGTCACATCATTTTAAATATTATATTTTTTAATAATTAATTATTTTATTTTGTTAAAATTCATAATATTATATATATTTTTATAGGTAAAATTTATTATATTGTATGTGAGTTATTATTAAACATAATATTTGGTGATTGTAATTATAAAAATAAAATGAAGTTCTTATTTAAATTATATATTTTTTTACGTATGAATGGAATAAATATAGACATTTTTTTTCAAATGTTACTGGAATTGAGCTGTGATTGAAAGTGAAAAATCATTGGTGTGATACATGTTAATTGATAAAGCTTGCTGAATCAATGATTCATACACCTAAAACTAGCATTGTATGCTATATCAGTGAATGTAGACATTTATTGATGTAGCATATGTTGCTATATATGGTGCACATTTCTAATGAACAACTCCAATGACTATAAATTAGTATGTTAATATTTATTAATGATGTTTTACTAATTAAGCAAAACATCTCCAACAAAGAAATTACCAACATAATCCACATTGCTGCACTATTTTTAGCAACATATTCAAGACTTTCACCGACATATTCCTATATTGCTGAAACCCTACATTTTAGTAGTACATCAGTGGAAATGTATGCCATTCACATCGTATCTCATTGTATGAAAGATTTCTTGTAAAACATTTGACTCCACCACCAAAGTTGACGTCTCTAGTAAGCTAACAACCCTTAACCATCCTTCCATTTTTATCCGACCATCCGTACCAAATGTGCGTACCTTTCTTGCCATTCTAATGCGGTAGCCAAACAGAGGGAAACATTCTCTTCTAAGCAAAAAATGGCGATGTAGCTTAATAGGCATTTGGGATTGCTGTTTCTCTTTTCCTGCAGAAGTTGCAGCGAAGAAGCATCAATTATTTGATGGCTGGAGGAAAGAGGAAGAATAAACATTGAGGTGTAGCTAATATAAAATGGGTAATTTTGTATGTATTTGATGAGAGATTTTTTTCCTGTTTTACATTTTTCTAGAAAAGAGTTTTCCCTTTATGCTCTTTGAGAATTAAAATTTTAGGAAACATGGTTGGTAAATGGAAATGATTTTCCATTTTACAATCAAATGTTCATATATAATATTTAATCTCTTGACTTTTTAAAATTTAAAAATTACTCTTAACATTTTTTTGTTACAATGAACTATTGTAACTTTAAGAAATTATAAATAGGGGTTTTTTTTTTGTCAAGATAAATAAAATTTTCTTTTAATAAATTATTTTTATAATAAAACAATGTAATTTTAACATTGATGACTGCAAACTCTTTTCTCCCATGACACAAACACTTCTCCCTCTCAATTCTTTTATGCTCAACAACATTTTAATTCCTAAGCAATTAACAGTTTCTATATAATAAACTTATTCTAATATAATATGACATACATTTTCTAATATAAACCTAAATTTAAAGTTAAAAAGAAAATAAAATAGAAAAATTTCTAGTGTAATATATGGCATAAACTTTTTAATTCAAATCTCATTCTTTTCTTAACTTGTGCCACATTTGAGTTAAGGAACCAACATAAAATTTCAAATTTCAAAAGACTAGCGATTCCTCACTACATTAGAATTAAGAAGCCATCAATAAACACCAAACCCCTATATATGAAAAAGTCTAAAGAAAAAAAAAAATCCTATTTTCCTTGTTATAATGGTTCTTCTATACCTAAAAAGATCTCAATATTGACTATTGCAAGAATAGGACCTAAATTTAACCAATTCCACAACCTTATCAAGATCATCATTTTTCCTTATTAACAAATCTAACCAATTTTGTAGGATAAATCAGATCATCTTTTTCCTTTGGCCATGAACAGGAC